CGAATACGCATTTCTGAGGAAGTTCCTCGCTGAAAAACACATTCATAGTAGCAGTAAAACAGGAAGCGCGTAGTTAAATTTAATTCTGCTTGTGGTCGGCAGTATTGTTGTTACGTTTATTGAACGCTTTAGATGGGAAATGGAATGAAAGTATCGTCGGATTCTCTCTGGAGCATAGATTGCTTCATGTGGGATGCGTTTTGATATGGGAAATTGATAACATTTAGGTGAGGGTAAATAGATGGCGATGTCGTGATTTAGTTGTGTACTTGAGAAATTATAATCATCTTCAAATGAATTGATGTTTATATCACCGTGCCGAGCGATTCGGCAAAATCGGATTCGTTCAGTTATTCAACTAAAAGCAACATTCATGGCTTAAACTTCATATGTCGTCATGCAACCTTTCCAATTGTGAACACCTGTCTATGACGTTTCATCCTTACGTGTATCGTTTGACTACCGAACCGAACCATGAGTCAAACGAGATCATGAGAACACCTCAATTGAAATTGTTTTGATTGATCACTTGTTATAGACTGATATTGAACAGAGCTGATACTCATGTTCTTGTGAGTTTGAATAATTGTCATTGGAATGTGTTTACGTACGAACTCTGAAATCATTTAAGTGTTATTTTGCTGCTGCGATGTGTTGAGTTCAGNTGAGCAACTCGAAAACAAAATGTTTTTTTTTAGCAACAAAATGTTTTTGTTAGACATCTGAGTATTGCATCTCTTGAGTGTGTCCATCACGATCGCAAAATCAATCATTTGCTTGCACTTTCGTCATTTTTTGTTTGAATTCACATGAGTATCATGAATGCAGTTTTGATTGGAGTGTAATAAACGTAAACAAAAATTACAAATTGAGGGATTATTTTCATTGCGGGTTCTTTTCAGCCGATTGCTATTGTTCTTCACGTTGGGATAAGTTCAGTGGGAGCTGAAATTGACCACTCAAAGTGGAAATTTTTGCTTGCTGAAACTGGAAAATATTACTATTTGGAACATGTTCCTTTTGCGATGATCAGTTCTTCACTAGGAGTTTTTCCTTTGGAATGACAATTGTAACATCTTGTGGTGGGCATTTGACTGACTGCATTTATTCAATTTCATCGCGTAATTCTGGAATTGAATGTAGTTCCTCGTTGAAATGTGACTACGGAGTCCATCGTTTTGTTTACGTATTCTCGAGGGAACATCATGATAGAAGAGGTCTGCTGTACTGTTGTGCATCGTTTGATGAGTGGTGACAAAGGTGATTCATTTTGGATGTGGTATCTGATGACAGATGCGTCATGTTCAGAAGAAAAAAAAGCAGTTCCTCAGCTTTTATTTGCGCCTCCAGTGAATTCAGCGATTTTATCCGTTATAGTCGTCTACGTACGATCTCAATTATTTTAACTTCTCCTGCAGATTGGCGCTTGTTTTACGATGATCTCATAATTCTATGATGATCTCATAAGCAGATCATAATTTAACGATGCATATTATTGTCGATGAGACACTCATTTCATCAGTTCAATTCACTCCGAAGTTGATGCTGTTTACAATTACGTTTCTTTAGCAGACACTGTTTTTTTTCCATGTTGTTTGTTATGGAACACTGAGCATGAATTCTGCGAATTTAGTTGTTTTCGATGTCATTGAGCAGTTGAACTGATTCGGTTGTTTGTTTTCAGAATGCCGTACGACACAATCTCTCGTTGCACAAATGTTTCGCACGAGTCGAACAAAATGTGAAGGGCGCAGTTTGGACGGTCGACGACTCGGAATTCTATCGTCGTCGTTCGCAGCGAGCACAAGCCTCCAGAAATGCGTCTTCATCAAGCACCAACACCAAACTCGACAACCCTCTGAATCTTCTGTCGACCGCTGCAGCGTCAGCTGCCAGTATGGTTGTGCCGATGAGCACTACTGAAGATTTGTTGAATCACGAGAGCTTACTGATGGAGATGGACGACAATGCGACGAATCATTTGGATTCCATGGGTGTTCTTGCATCCAACGCTTCGGATGATTCCGATATGGGAACAACGAGGTTGTTGTACGCTCCATCGGATGGCTCGTTTCTGACCACTCACGACAATAATAACAGTAATGACGCGACAATTAAGAACGAAACTGCGTCAATGCTTGATGGTGTATCGTCACCACCGTTGCACGATCTGAAGTGTGATGTGTCACGTAAATCATTGGATATGTTCATAAAAGAAGAAGAAACAAGCCCTAAATTGGTTGTTGATGAAGGCTGTTAGCATTTCGTGTTGCCCTGCTGCTGCTGCTGTTCTCATCCTAACAACATCAACGATAATGAGACTTTTACGCGGATGTATGAGGGTGTTTGCTCGGTTATTTTTTTTATCGTACAGCTCTGGTGGACTTGTTAAATAGTCATTCATTCGCTCACTTTTTGGTCTCAAGTTCACTTTTCGTACGCACACAAACCACTATCGCTTTCTTTGAACACACCTAAAGTCGTCGTCAAATTGTTCTTTGCGGTGAAAAATCTCCAAAATTCCCCACATCTGAACACGAAGTCAATAAGAAAATTAAATGATGGTGTTGAAAAGCATCTGGAAAATCTCTGATTCATTGGTTGAAGTTGCCTTTGTGGGAACGAACAGTCACCAGAGGCGTGTGTTATCACGAGGAATATTCGGTTTGTATGTTCA